CCAAGACCCTCCCCAAGTCCACTGATAGGGGAGACACTCCTCCACTTCCCTCTGACCCTAGCCTATCAGATCTCATCAGGCCTGGCTGCATTGTCTTCCTCTGAGACCTGGCAAGACTGCCCCTCCCCCACCGGTGGGAGATGATTCAAGAGCCAGACACTGAGTTCATTAGACACAACTCTTCACTCTGCTTGCTCACTTTAAACTTGGTTTAAATGGTTAGCTTTAGAAGACAATACAGACACCTGTTTTTTAGAAAAACCTTGACATAAGAACCTTGCTTTGAACACATAATGTACAATTGAAATAAGAAGATAAAACTTCTGCTTTGAACTCAAAATGAGCATATAGATAAAACCTGTGGACTGTGAACACTCCCACCCTCCACATTATCTATGCAACTAGCTTGCCACTGCTACGTGGTAGGTCCCCAAATAGACTGAGTACGACCCTCTAAAAGTTCTCCACTTACAAATAGTCCTACTTAGGGTTTCTATTGCTGTGATGAGACACCATGACCAAAGAGCAAGTTGGGGAGGAAAGAATTATTCCACTTACACTTCCAGGTAACAGTCGGGACAGGTACTCAAACAGGGCAGCAACCTGGAGGCAGGAGCTGATGCAGCGGCCATGGAGGGGTGCTGCTTACTGGCTTGCTCCCCATGGCTTTGCTTGGCCTACTTTCTTCTAGAACCCAGGACCCCCAGCCCCAGGATGGCCCCACCCACAGGGTCTGGGCCCTTCCCCATTATCACTAATTGAGAAAATGCCTTACAGCTAGATCTCATGAAGGCATTTCCTCCAGAGGTTCCTTCCTCACTGATGACCGTAGCTTGTGTTACGTTGACACACAAAACCAGCCAGTACGCAAATTTTGAGATTTTTTTTATTGTTTTATTTTAACTAACATTTTAAATGATATTTGGCTTTAGCCAATTTTTAAAGATTTCATTTTATTTTTAATTATATGTGTGGGCTCTTGTATGCATACATCAGTAATGTCAGTGTAAGGGCCTGTGGATGCCAGAAGAGATACTCTGGATACCCAGATACTCTGGAGCTAGAGTTACAGGCGGTTGTGAGCCACCTGACGTGAGTCCCAGGAATCAGGCTCAGGTCCTCTGGAAGAGCAGTATGTACTAAGCCATCTCTCCAGCTGCTGGCTTTAGACCTTTATTGAATTGGTCCAAGATTCTGTAAGTGAGGTAGAGGACACATGAATTAACCCTAGTGTCTGGGGGTCAGCCAGTCCTGATTGGTCCTCTTGTCTCAGCATCAGTATGAGTCGAAATCATTTCACTCTCTAACAGTGTATACAAACAGCAAGTTATATAAATGCTGTATCACTCTGTCTTCTGCTGCTACAATGAACCTCTTGGCTCATATGTAAACAAAAGAAATTGGTTTGGCACACCATTGCGCAGGCTAAAAATCAAAAAGGCATGGCACCAGCTCTTTCAAGGGCCCTAACTGACTGTGTCACATCATGGTGGATGGCTTTCCAGTGGGGGTGTTTGCAGAGGGAGCCGAAGACCGGAAAGCAACAATGATAATGTCCCGCTAAGCCCATCTCTTAAAAGACCCATGACTCCTAACTTAACAAAGGTTCCTTACCACATTACCATATCCACGTGAAGCAATGACCCTATCCATGAGTGCACACAGAAGCAGATGAAGATCAACAGCTGTCTGGCATTTCCAATGGCAATCCTGTTGGGAGGGGCGGGTGGACCATCACTGCTCAAGTTCTTTGGTTTAGAGGTCATGGCCATCTCATTCAACCAGGCTTTCTCATCTCCTCTGCTGGGACTAAGGCACATCAAATTAGTCTCAGGGCAGCTGGTCAATAGAAAGCATGGGAGCTTGGGGGCCTGGGTAACTGGGAGTCTGAGGGCCTTGGGGCCTGGGAGTGGAGGCTCCCTGTGGTATGGGTCCAGCTAAACCATTTCTCTTAGCATATGGCAGTGTAGAGCCAGCAGCTAGGTCTGTTTGGAACTCAGTTTCTTTGCCAATACAATGTGTCTATTAAAACTTGGGAGGGCTTCCACAGATGTTTAGTCATAAGGCATACACTGTGATATTGGTTATCAGCTTGATGTGATTTAAAAGTCACCATGGAAACACATTTCTCCAACTGTCAATAAGGGCATTTCCAGAATGGTTTACCTAAGCAGAGAAGACTCCCCCTGAATGTGGGTGCATTGACCTGGGTTCCTGACTGAATAAAGATGGAGAGCAGCAGACAGCAAGCTGGATACCAGCATCCATCCCTGCTTCCTGCCTGTGCATGCCATGTGACCACCTGCCTCGGGCTCCTCCCCACCATGACTGATTGTGCCCTCAAACTATTGCTGAAACAAACTTTTTCTTCTGTCTCAGGTTGGGTTACCATGGCTGCAATGAAAACACCATAGCCAAAAGCAAGTTGTGAAGGAGATTGTTTATTTCAATCACATTTCCATACAACAGTCCACCATAAAAAATAAATAAATAAAGCAGTGAGGGCAGAAATTCATGCAAGGCAGAAACCTGGAGGCAGGAGCTGATGCAGAGGCTGTGGAGGGGTGCTCCATACTGGCTTGCTCCCTGTGGCTTGGCTCAGCCTGCTTTCTTATAGAACCTAGGGCCACCAAGACAGGAGTGGCCCCACCCACGATGGGCAGGGCTCTCCCCCATCAGCCACACACACACACACACACACACACACACACACACACACACACACACGACAAAAATGCCCTGGGGCTTGCCTGCAGCCCCAGCTTACTGAGACACGTTTACTCAGCTGAGGCTCCCCCCCTCTGATGACTCTGGCGTGTGTGACATAAAACTACCCAGCACAGCTTCCTTGAGCTGCCTTTGATGGGCATTTTGTCACAGCAATGAGAAAACGCCGGGCAGATCTACCCTCTTATTCTTCTTTAGTGACCATGATGGTGGTGGTGGTGGTGGTGGTGGTGGTGGTGGTGGTGGTGGTGGTGATGATGATGAAAATAAGAGACTGGTGTAGATTAAAGTCATAAAACAGAACAATCAGGAGACCAGGACAAACGGACCTTGTGTTAGCTTCCCTCAGATTTCACTGTCTGGCTTGTTCTTAGTCCAAAATACTGTGTGGGCCCTGCTGAGAGCCAAAAGACTGCCAGGCCCCCTGGAGAACCACCCTCTCCCACGTGCAACGCTGGGAGGGCATCCACCTTCTGTCTCTTTATACCAGCGAGGCTAGCTCCACCGTAACACTCTATAGCCAAATCTGAACCCCCAAACCCTTCAGGTCTGTGTCTTCACAGTGACTTCACCAGTTATTTTCCACAGTGAAAACTCAAAATTTGGTTTAAAAAAAAAAAAAATGTTTGGAGCAGAAAGGCAAACGGTTGGCATCCAGAAGGAACGCCTGTCCTGCAGAACCGAGAGGCTCCCTCTCCTCCGCATCCACACGCCAGCAGCAGCGGCAGGAGAATCTGACGCCAGTTAGTGTGGCCGCGGGATATTCGCTGTTCTTGAGGGATTGGTTTCGCCTACGCAATTGGGCCACACGCAGCACACCGGAACCTTCCCAGTTCGAACTAATCTGAAATAGCTTTTAGTTGGAATTTTCGCCGGATTTTAAATGTGAGTTTCCACAGGCTGAAGGAGGAAAGGGCAGTGCGGGCTGGGGATCTTCAGGTGGAAGGCGGACCCCGCCCCTAACTGGGAAGGTCATTCGCTGAGGGGAGCATCCTAGACGCGCACAGAGCGAGGGGGGGGGGGGCTGCTCCGGAAGGTCCTTTCCCGCCCTCAGCACCGGTCGGCGCCAGAAGAGGCATCTCCGCAGCATTTTGGAAAGCAGCCACCGCGCACAGCCTGGCCGTAGAAAGTGGAGACTGCTGCCTGTGAGCAGAAGGGTAGCAGGCCAGTCGGGGAGAGCTGGGTAGGTTGGCTAGAGGTTTGCTTTTACTCAAGTCGTGACTTTGAAGGGGCTGTTCTTCAAGTGTGCGGCAGGCCTGCCCTCTCATCCCGCTCTCCGGCCTAAATCTTTGATCTGTCCTTAAGAAAGTGTCCCTCCTGCCACCCTCGGCTCCCAACCGCCCAGAACTGTTGCGTAGAAACATTGGGCTCATCTGTCTGATTGGAAGGATTAATAAAGAGGCTGATTCCCACCCTTGCCCTCTACGTTGTCCTAAGGAGGTTAAATGGCACACAAGGCCCGGACGCCAGCCATAGCATCCAGGATTGGGGACCGAAAAATGCAGGGATTCCGAGACCCTCTTTGCGCGCTCAGGCCACCCTTCCCTGGCTCCCTAGCTCTCAGCCCCAGTCAAGGGTGCGGGCGCGCACCGATGTCTCCCCCCAGCGGCCGTGCGCGTGTCGCCGCAGGAACCCGGCGGCGGGGGTGGCACGGCGCAGTCAAGCCCGCGGCTCCGCCCCGCGCCCCCCCACCCCCCACCCCCGCTCCCGGCCGGCAGTGCCGCCCCCTCCGCGCTGCGCTCGGCTCAGACGGAGCAGCCGCCTCTGCAATGTCAGCAGCCGCAGCGGCGGCGGCGACGAGAGCGGCAGTGGCCCGGGCCCCGCGGTAGCCGCCAGCGCCGCACGGCCCGGCAGGCGCGCAGCGCGACTCCGCGGCCACCTCGCTGCCTCCGGGGCGCCGCGGGCGAAGGGGCGCTCCGCGGCGCGGCTCTCAGACTCCGGGTCAGCCGGTCCGCGGCCGCGCACAAAGGACCACGGACACCGGGTGTCCGGGGACTGCGCCCAGGGACCGGCCGGGGACGGCAGCTACGCCGCTTCTCCACGCCTCCCCTCCCTGGGCTGCCGGAGCCCTCGCCCGAGCGGACCCATCATATGACAGCGGCGACACGGTGGCCACCGAGCGCCGGTGCTGCTCTCTCCGCTGCGCCACGGCTGCCCGCTCCTGAGGTGGCCCTCGTCGCGCCCCGCTGAGCGGTCGCCCGCCGCCGCCCCGACCCCCGAGCGTCCCAGCTCTCCGGCTCCGGGATCAGGAGCCTCGGAAGACCCCTCCAGAGCCGAGCCTAAGATGGCCACGCTGCTCCGTAAAATCGGGCTCATTCGCCTGCACAACCGGGACACGGAGGACCCCAAGCACCACCACAACCACCGCGGCGGAGGCGGCGGCCAGCAGAGCGCGTCGCTTCGCGGCAAAGGCGGCGGCAAGAGCGGCGGCCACAAGCAGCAGCAGCAGCAGCAGCAGCAGCAGCAGCACCCCGGCGGCGCGGGCGACGCCAGCCCGGGGCCCGGCAAGGGCAAGAGCAAGCGCGCGGCGGAGCTGGCCGCTCGCGACA